CGTAAAGTGAGTTGTTGTTTTTCTTGTTGTTCAAGTGAATGAAATTTGAAGGATTTATGTTTTTTATGAAATTTTATTTGACCACCTTTGTTAAGCTGCTTTTTTTTTGCCTTGGATTTCTTTTGCCTCTGACCTCAGTTCTGAATGCATTACGGGAAGCGAATGACTCGCTGTCGTAGATTTCTTATTGTACCACAAAACGACTTGCTGGCGAAAATGTGTGTGTCGTTAAGTATTTTTTTTTTGCGGGAGCACGTTGATCGGGAAGTATGGAGGGATTTGGTTTAATCAACAAATTTTCACAAAGAAGTTTATTGAGAATACTGAGCGTGAAGAATGCAAGCAGCTAATCTTTAGTTAGGGGGTATTTATCCGAATCAGCAGTTCTAGAGTTTGAGCAGAAGTTTCTTGGCGAGATTTTTTGTTTTGATTTGGATTAGTGAAACCGAAATTTTAGCTTGGATTTTACTGCATGCCATAGTTGTCGTTATGGTTTTCACTACGCATTAATTAATACAGAGGGATTGTCATGGCGAAGTAGTAGGTTTGTGTGCCGCAGGTTTTTGTTGGGAGGGGTATATTTACTCAGTTTATCTTTGATTTTCTCAATATCGCTTTAGTGGTTTGAGAGGATGTGTGCAGTTGTGCTAGCTCTTAACCTCTGAGTGGAAAGAAGAACTGAAGATGTTTACTTATTAATGCATGTAATTGGTTTTAGAAAACTTTTGGTTAAGTTTTGTTTTAGTTGCTTAGATTATGTTAAGAGGTTTTAAAGGCTGGCTCGTTAAATTGCTCGTCTGTCTGTTCTGAAAGGTATTTATAATGGGGGTTATTCTGTATGTAATTGGAAGTTGAATTTTGCGTACCAGACTTGTTTCTTTCAAATTTTTAGTGCGTCATGTAAGTGACTTTCATTTGGGGTATTGAAATGAATGGCATTTGGTGAGCTCTGGTCAACGTGCATACGCTTATCTGGATAATCTGGTTTTATTTTGCGTTTTCTTCGTCCAGATTGCCCTTATGTTTGTCCACTTCGCCGATGGTCGTTTCAAAGATGAGTAGAACCGTCACTGGACACAAGACGCTTCCGGCATCCCATTTCCTTAGTTTGAAGGGAAGGTTGGAAACATTCAACGGTAAAGTATAATGACGTTTGTTAAGGAAAATGAGTTGTATGATACGGTCATAGGGTACCGTTAGTCCTCAAGCTATCTCGAGCTACCAGCTTGGTTGTTGCAGTCTCCTGCTGCTAAATTATTAAAATTTTGCAAGTTAGCTTCATGACTTTTTCAGTAGGTGCTTAGAGACTGGTCTTTATATTCCAGGGATCCGTCTTTTTTTTTTTTTTTTTACAGAATGCTCTCGCAGTTTTTACATTACAGCTCTACTGGGCTGTATTTTCTTTTACTAACAAGAGAAAAAAACAACAATTGTGCCTCACTCCTCAACGCATTTGGGGAAGCTTTTTTGAGGGATGTCACTTCACAGTTTGTATAGGTCTTCAACTCACTTACCGGTACCCAAGGAAGCAGTAAGACTGGAGAAGTTACAGGAGTCTTAGAAGGATATGAATTGTTTGTTCATTGGAGAGACCGTTGTAGTTAACCTTCTTTGACACGATTATGTTTAGAAGCAAAATCGTAGTAGGCTTCCTTCCCAAGTTTTGTTTTTTTGTTTTTTGTGGAGATAGATGCTTTATTATTCATTAGCTATTGGTCTATTCCGAATTATATAATATTTAATATTTCAAGATGTACGTGTTTGTTTAGTCCGGAACAAATTCGTTATTGTTCCATTGCTGAAATTTTCAAGGCACTATCGGAAGTTTGGTAGTTAGAGGTCTGCATATCGTGTGTTTAACTGAGATTGATCAGATAAAGTGCTGGAGTAAAGCGTAGGGATTTGAATCAGTTTTAGTTTAGTGACCATGCTTGTCGAATGTTATCCAGTTTAACGATTTAAGGATCTTTATGAGTAGCTTAAAAGAGCGAGACTGTAGTGTATCAAGGTTTGGACAGTTTTTTAAGTAAAAGACCTTGTTGTGTAACATGCCCGAGTAGCTCTGGTCGGATCATTCATTTTTTGTCAGATTAGAAGAATCATCTTAAATTTGTCTCTAACTTTGATTAGCAGAGTTCTCTCCATAAAAATATGCAAATTCAGCATTACTGGAGAAGAGTCGTGAAAGTGCTAACATATCTGCAGTCTTTAGTCTGACAGTGAATGCGATTTGTAACTCAGAAGTTCTGTTTTTTGTTTTTTAAATTGCCTGGGCGTGTGACAGCTTTTCTGTAATGGCACCTGTGGACGAGCAAATATATAGTGAGGTTTCTTGCTTGAATGAGTGCTCGTCATTTCTTTTTTTTTGAAGTTGGACTTTGAATTGTCGAGGGCCAGTGAAGTCAGTGGACCTGCTCTCAAATTCTAAGTGTATAAACTTAGGATCGCTATTTCAAGATAGAACTCGTTTTCAGACAGTTTGTTGTACTTACATTCTCCTTCCTAGTTTTGTCTTTTTACTTTTTATGTTATTGTTTGTTGGTGTCTTGTGCTCTTGCATTTGCAAACAATGAGCTATTTTACTTTGGACACGTCGGATCTAGCTTTAGCGTAGTAAATTAGATGTATATTGGAGCATTTAGCAAATCATGAGAAATTTGTACCCGTGAAGTGTTATGCAGAAAATTGTTAATGATATTCCTACGTGTTATTCAGATGAGGTTCACATTGCTATAATTTACTCTCGTCTGGCCAAAAACATCGCATTTGAAGGAGCGTACTTTTCAATCACTGTCCGAACCGATTTATCGTAGCAGAATATTATCAAATTGGGATGTTCAGACATGAAAAACAATCTTCAACAACGTTTATTCTTTAACATTGCTCATTTCGGTAAAACTGGGATGGTTTAGAGCCACCGTCAGTACTGCACTTAGCCGTCAAAGCTGAATGTTTGAGTATTGACTAGCTTAGTACTCCCTATTGGTACTCCCTATTCGCTTCTGCACTACTAAATGCGCAGACGTTGGGGGAAAAAGTATGCAAAAGACTACGAGTTTCATTCAAGCACCTTTATAGTCCTTCTAGTGACGCTGAAATAAGTTACAACAGGTGATACCGTCCCCGATATGTGAAATGTAATGTTCAGGATTACTACACGGGAGTAGTGATATAAGAGAAATTTGAACGGGATGTTGTGGTTTGAAGGTCAATGAATGTCTTGCCTTCTGCGTTTGTACATCTCACTAATAGCGTATTCGGCTTCTTTACTGAAGCTGGTTTTTTACTTCGTGCACCGTTTACTCAGGAGAACTTGTA